TTTTTTACTGTTGGTGATATAAACATTTAGGTTTACATATATATAATAATAACACCTAGGAAAAATAATATCGCTTATGGATCCATTGATGTTTGGGCCAGTAATAAGAAGATATATTTAGATTTAAACCCTTTGTGAATTTAATTTGTAGTTATAATTATTGTATTTCTAGGTTTTTATTAGAACGTATCCATGGAAACAAAAGCGTGATTTCCGGTTAATTATCCAATAGAATTCCCGCGAAAGCCAGCAAGGACTCCTATTGGCTAGAAGAAACGCATCTGTCTTATGCTTGAAGCCCGCGAGATCCAAAACAACACCGTAGGGGTGCAGACCAGTAACGGGCCTCAAGCCGTCAGTAACAATAACGAGGGTTGTCCTTCCACTAAGAGTACCGTGTCTATGAGGCTGTGCTAACATCCAGATAACCTCGTCTGATAATGCTGCCGCAGCAGAGGCAGAGAGCCTAGCAGGGATGTGAGTATTAGCGTTAGCATAGCAATTAGCACCCAGAAATCTCAGCGGAGACTCGGTTACCTTGTCAGCTAAACACCAACTGAAACTGCCTCCTAACAACGGCGGAATACAAACCGAAGCTCTTGAGTTGAGGTGGGTGTATTAATGGCTACTCTATGAGCTTCTTGGCTGTCAGTTAAACCCTTCCTAGTTCGTTGACTTCGCTCTTATACGATGAAACGCAATGTTAGACCTACTCGATCGTACATAAGCTTGGGAAATAAAGGACATACCATTTGTGTGCTACCCAAACTCTCCTGTGTTCAACTGAAGGGTGATTTGGACCTAAATAAGTCCTTCCCATGCACCCAGAGACCGAGCAATAGTTTATTTCCTTTGCAGCATCGTGAGTATCCCGACTTCATTACAGGTAATGTTTTTAATTAACACTTACCTGTTTTACTATAGCACTTTGGGATTTGTATCAATATAAAGTGCATTACAAGTTCAAATTATTATAAGAAGAAGGATGTCTACATCTGAAAAAATGACCGGCAGAGTTTGAACTTTTTAAATTCACTTAAATTATGACTTGAATTCATTCAATTATTTTTTTAAATGAGGAACTGGTTTGTCCAGCAATAAAAATCCTAATGTTCTCCCCACAGGAGAGCCTTTGGATGTTTACACCACCATGTCTGCGAAGAAATATTGTTTACTTCTTGGCTCCCAAGTTTCTTCTGACTCCTTGCCCAATGCTTCCCCTGAACCTGAGGAAAGTCTCATCAATCGGATTATTTCTGGAGATATAGCCCTGTCTGGACATCCATCTTCCATCAGCCCTAACAAAGTTATTCTCATTGTCTGCCATGAAACAGCAGAGGTAATGAACATGCAGTCAGTAATGTTTGTTGCTTGATCCTCAATATTTGAAAACTAACAACTTTAATATGTCACCTTTTTTATTATTATTATCAGATTTTATCAGTAAATGACCAGGCTGTCAAACTGTTTGAGAGCTCCACTAAGGAACTGGTTGGAAAGAAGCTGTCATCTGTTTTAAGGAGAACTAATCAGGTCCTGGAAGAAGCCCTGGAAGAAGATTATCAGCTAGCAGATGGAACCATTGCTACCCTGTCTGGACAAGTGGTATGAAAAACACTAAGCTGAAATTGTTTTCTGAGTTGTACATCTCACCATGTTATCACTCCGTCTGTATGATATTGAGAGAAAAAATATTCTGCAATATTGCAGCATACCTTAAGTGTGATGGTAACTGAAAAACTGATCATGTAAAAGTCCATTTAACTGGCAAAATGTATTCATGAAAGTTGAGCTTGAATACACCATTTGTGTAGATGATGCATTGAAGCAGTTCCTTGGTTAGATTTAGACAAACTTTGTCATTTTGTATATAGAGAGTATACGAAATGAAATTTTGATGCATTCAGCTTTCGACTGTGAATGAGCAGCTTACAACAGTGAAAGAAACATTACCATTTATAAATTGTAGCAGTGATCAAATGTGGACAATGTATTCAAAAAGGAAACCCAGTTTAAAGTCATGGTGCAAAAGGCATTGCTAGTTAAAGGTTCAGTGCACTGCAAATTGGAATATTTACCACATGAATGCTGTGTCACTCAATATTTGTGTATCTACTATAATAGTGCTATTTCATGTTTTTACGAAGTTTCTTTTCAATTTTGTTTTCTAGGTGGATGCTGTGAGATTATCTGGAGAGGTACCGGTATCTGTGTGTACCTACAGGCAGTCAGAAAATGAAGACCAGTTGCTTGTGATGATGGAATCTGTGGAGAGGATATCAGCCTTTGTCTCCTTTTCCCAAGATGTGTGTATTCCAATATCTATCTCTAAAAAAAACTACAATCATATGCCTACTTTTTTGGGTGTATATACATTGAAGTTGAAACATCTATTGTATAAAAAGATCCAACTAAACCTTTTCAGATAGCATTACCAACTGTTTTTTATTTTTAATTTACTAAAGGCTTGTATTTTTGACATATGCAGAGAAATGGCTTATAGAGGTTCACAATTCCCTTTCTTCAAAATTGTTAAGGATGTCAGGGAAGCTGTATTTGTGGGGTTACCTCAATATATAGAAGTGTACCCAGCCCAAACTTTGATGCTGCGAGTTATCCTCAGAAGCTCACAGGTATATCGGGTGTTCCAGATCATTTAAAGGTGTATGCAAACCTATGAAGGAGATGTTATTTGGATAAAAAACAGGTATTCCTCCCATTTTCTGGCATTTAGCAGGTAGAAATTATGTTGGTAATCCTAACTGCCTAAAAAAAAAGGGTTGATTAAGTGTGAGACATTGCAGACAAATAAATAATGTACCTTTTTTTATTTTGTGCAGGAATATCTGGTTTTAGATGTATATTTATTTTTCATTTAAGGGTTCTATCCTAAGCTCTGACTCAGCTTTTGCTCATCTACATGGATATCACCACCCTGAGGACTTAAAAGGAGTTTCTATAAAGGAGCTTATCCCGGCTTTACAAATTCCCCTCTACAGTCATGCATTGCCCAAAGTAAGAACAAAATACTGTTTAAATAATGACGTCTGTTTTTTTTATGTTTGCTGAATATTTTAGGTACATAACTAGTGTTCTGTAATAATTTCCTTTCAGATGCTCAGGGTTCAGAAGGTGTATGGGAAAAGCAAAGGAGGAGCATCTGTCCCGCTCTGTGTGAAACTTCAGGGGGCAGCGCTGTGTGGAAAACCACAGACCAACAACCATGATGACTGCGCCTCATCAAGAGACGACTCCCATCTCCTTTCTCCTGCGAGCAAGAAGAACATTTCAGATCATAGGAACTTCAAAGAGGCTCTCTCTCCATCATCCGGTAGAAAACATTCACAAATCAAACCTTGGATAATGATGTCAACTTCAACATGGTTACAACTACAGTATATTTGAGCCCATTTTAGCAGGTTTTATGCATATATATATAAACTCTCGCTGCACAAATCATTACATTGCTTAATATAAAAGGAGAAATTTAAAAAAATGAAGCCATCAAACACAGTTTAAAACATCGTTATTTTACTTATTGCAATAGTTAAGTTGAAAATGTTGAATAAGTGTTCATCATTTCAGGTCTTTGTCATTTCAGGTCTTTTGCACCTGCAGCTTTGAACTTTTATAATGTTTAATAATCCATTCATTTGCTGTAGGGAAATGTGGTTTTACAACTACAATACAAATTAGCTAACAGCCGCAGGGTACTCGGAGGTAATTTGGTTTAATCAGACGCCCTCCTCTGTCAAACAACCTGGCTCAGATCAGAATCAGATGTCATAGAATCCTATTAAGGTCAGTTTATACATGTAGGTAAAGCATTAGAATGAATGCATCTAATCATAGAATAGGCAAACAAAGTCTTATAAGTCTAAAACTATTAAGTAATAAAAGCTTCATGATCCACATTTTTTTTATTCTTATGAAAACTACACAAATAAATAGATTTATTTTTCACACACCTCAATGAACCTGCATTAAGATAAAGACACAAAGAAAGTACTGATGTTTGGGTTTGTTTGTTTTTAAGAAAAAGAATCTCTAAATAGATCCAAAGCAGGAAATAAAACAGTCTTTTCAAAAGTAGTAAAACAGTTTTTTTTTTGTTTTTTTTTTCCCTATCTGGGTCTATTGCTTTATGTTTTGTAGGTTTAGAAAACGTCATATCAACAAGAAGAAGGTCATGCCAGTCCTCCTGGCTGAATAGAACAGTATTTTAATATGTCGTCTGCTTTTAAATTAAAGCTGCTGGATATTTGTGATCCTGTTTTACTTAAACGAAAGGAGAAAAGGTGGGGTTGAATTTTTTTTTTTTTTACGATGCTCCTAACATTTCAAATTTTAGGTGCATTTTCATTTATAAGTGAAAATATGGGAGACCCGCCTCAAAGCATCAGCCACATGTGCTGGCCACAAAATTTTTAGAAATCCTGAATTCCAGTTAAAAGGCTAAAGTGTAGTTTATTATAAGTTATCATTCAATTCAAAAAGGCTTAAAAACTTGATCCGAGAGGAGAAATGTAATGATGCATCTCTAACCAGTTTTAAAACATTGATCCTTTAAGCACCAAAGACCAATTCAACATTTTTGTTTTCTTATCTTTTTTTTTACAGAAGGCGAAGCTGACCAGACCATCACCTCTCCCACGCAAACACCAGAGTACTCTGGAACAGTCTGGGCGTTCGCCCCTTTGAGCGGCCTTCTCCTCCTTCGGGCAGACAGTTCAATCTTCAGCATTCACAACCACCTGGCCCTTAGCTTGTTTGGATACAGCAAGGATGAGCTTGAGGGAAAGGTTAGCCAAATTGACCAGTCCAGCCAGGCTGCTCAAACTGAGGATCAGGTCAGCTCTTATATCTCTCACTGTCTCTTCTTGTCAACAGAGTGTCGCTTTTCTGATGCCTGGTTTCTATGAGTGGATGTCGGACTCGGACAGAAAAGCCGCCCCCGTTTCTGATTCTCAGGTGGAGATGGGCAAAAGTCCAGCCATGTCTAGAATATCAGTGAATAACGGTGAGAGCTTCTGCTTTTATGGAAATGTAGTTTGGTCTTTACTTGTACCATTTATATCTGCTATCTATTTAGCCCTGTGGATCTTTTTTTTTTCTCCTGTCCTAACCTTAGATCCCTCATCCCTGGTAGCTGGAGACATGGCTATGGTGCAGCAAGCTATCCTTAAAAAGAGCTCCAATGGTAGAGGCAGGATCTTCACTGGAACCAGCTCCAGGCTGGAGAATCAGGGCAGTTCTCTGTCTACGCTCTCTCTTCCTGCAGTCACCTCCACACATTTAGTTATGTAAGTAAGCAGCCACTATTTACTTAGGTTTTCATCAAAGAGGGGTGTTTTTTAAATACAGTAATTATTTATTCTATTATATATACCTTTGTGTGGTGTTTCATGAATACTGGAAAGACTAATGCTGCAGACGCAACAGGCGTGCCTTTAAACAGCACTTGTATCCATGTATATTTAATGTGCTTTGCAGGTAATCTGGACACACAGGCAGCTCTACTGTCTGGGACCAGAAATCACATTTTGACACTGTTTACATCCCCTGCCTCATCCCTGTTTATTTGGTCTGGGGGTATGAGATATAAGAATAATAATATATTATATAAGTGTATATATATAAGTCGTTACATATTTGGTCTAACAATGTTACTGCTTTAATTCTTTTTCTTTTCTACTATAGTCAAGTTTTTAGTGTAAATAATAATGGCATGTCTGTCATTTCTTTCTCTATCTTAAGACTAACAACCCTGTACATTTTTTTGTTTGTTTTTTATTAGGTTAATAAATGCATTTCCAGAGAAGTAGCTCAAAAAACAAATGGAAACTAACACATTTTTAACCACCCAAATTTTGCAAATAGTTGCAAAATTGTACTGGATCTACAGAGTGTCTATTAAGTGTCTTTTAAAAGGGATCACAGCTAAAAACTGCAACACGTTCTGTTCTGATTTTTGATGGATTATTATAAAGCATTCCATAATTATGAAGTGGAAGGAAAATTAAGATTACTTCTTTTTTATTTATATATATATATATATAAATCTCTTTATTTGTAATGAGCCTCTCTTTGTTAATGTATATATGCAGTAAGTATGAATCAATCACAGCTAATAATTTTGTTAAAGGTTTTGAGATTTTTGGGATTTGCAAAGAGACTTGAATTGTTTGTCACTTTTTTTATTGCTCATATCATGTTGGAGAGAGAATAATTGTAAACCTTTTTGTTAAAATGTTATCGAAGCGTCTCACTTTGATTTAGGGATAACCTCTGACCATAGTTCTAACAGGAATAGCTTTGTTGTAGATTAATCTACTGTAGTCTAGTGCAGTTTAGTAGTCTAGTGCAGTGCTACATTTCCCCATGTCTCTGATCACCTTCTCTCTCCATGCTGGAAAGCATTTCTACTGCGTGTTTCTGGCTCTGCCATATTTCAGAGAAAAGATGGAAGCTGTTTGTTTACTAATGTTCTTTATAAGAATTCTGAGGCCTATTGAACATCTGGATTCACACTAAACATACAGCATATCATCATGGCTGTTATATGATAATGTGATAAGTTTGAGGATTCGTCACTTTTCCATGGCACTGAATGGTTTTTTTTATATATATATATATATATATATATATATATATATATATATATAATTTGATCACAGGTTTCATATTTTATTCAACCTAATTAGCAGCATAAATAAAATGTCTTCCCAGGGCTAATGACACCACAGTGCTGATTGAGGAAGCAGCCCGGGCAGCTCCCTGCTCCACCTCGCTGGACGGGGCGGACTCCACCCAGGCTCTCCTTAAGACATACGCCTGGGTACAAACTCCAGAGGAGGATACATGCTGCTCGGTTTCCACCGATCCATCCATCCAAAACAGAGCTGAGCAGCTGGTTAATGTGAATCCGGACAGCATCGTACCTGCTGTCAGGATTACAGCAGGTACGATGTATTTTGACCTTCTTTACTTTGTGTATTATTTTTTTACTTGCACATTTAATCTTTATTAATTTCACTCCAGTTAAATAAATGATGAGGCCGTTAACGAGATTCTGAAATGTTTTCCACTTTTATATGCAGACACTCCTGGTCAAGATGGCAGAGCAGGTGGCAGCTGTAATGAGGCGAGAAATGATCATCACTCATGTCCCTCGGTCCTCCAAGGGTCGAGCTTTGAGATCATCTCAATGGAAAGCAGGTTGTTTAAATGTGGCAGTGATGCAGTCACAAAGCCTTAAAGATACAGTCTTTAGATAAATGCAGAAAAAAGATTTAACTTTTGTTTTTGAACTTAATTTCTCAGATCGTCCTGCGGTTTCTGTGAGAATTTTGCTGGTCAGGGTGATCAGGGAGCAGCCCAGGTAGATAAGTCCAATCTAGCGCATCCAGCGGATTCAGCCAGCTGCTTTGTGGACATCGACAGCAATGGAGATGCAGTAACACATGCTCTAGCAGATCTGAATCTGAACGACGGTGCCGGGCAGCTCGGCATCCAAAGGTGTACCAACGACTACCTGCAGTCGGTGATATCCTGTGATACAGCCGAGCTTCTAAAAACAGCTTCTCTGGGTGTGGAAGAATCAGACCAAAAAGCTGAGCCCACTGGTGCTGGAGTAGAGGCTAAGGTTGGTTTGAATGAAGAGCAAGATCAGTGGGAAGCGCTCTCTTTGATTCATAAAGGGAAGAACCAGGAGTGTTCAGTACAAGCGAATAGTGGAATTCAGTCCCATACAGACATGCCTGCCACATCAACACCTAAAAAACAGAAGATAAATGGACAAGACCTGATCTCAAACACTACACAGATACTAGAGGGACAGTTTGTAGGAAATGGATACCACAGAGATGGCTCAAGAGTAGGTTGGTAATTTAAAAATTTACTTTGTCATTTTCCTCCATTATAATCAGACACATAACCTAAAGTTACTGTATTTTTTTTCTTTTAACTTTCCTCTAGATGTGCAGTGTGACGTTTGCAGGACTAACCTCTCTGATGGAAACTTCATGTTCTGTGTGTGGATAAAAAGATCAAACCAGCAGGGGGCACTGTTGCAAACAGAGTCCTCGATTCACAACCAATCAGGAACAAGTCCAGCAAAGGTTAGCAGCAGTTGAGACCTGTCATCAGAAACTGTTTTTCAATATGTGAAAATTGAATAGAAATTTCTTTTTAGCATTCAACAAGAAAGAAGTAAGCATAAACATTTATGGCATGTACAAGCTTGCATGCACAGATCAATGCATACATGAAAAACAGAATATATATATATATATATATATATATATATATATATAACATTTTTGCTGAAAGTGGATGAAAGTATTTTTTTTCTCCCCATTAACAAAAGATGTTGGAAAAAAAAAAGTTTCCCCATCACAGTTTATCATGGTAGTGAAAAAGTAAAACCCTATACCAGGAACTTGGTTTTAAAAAATGAGTGGTTAGAGTAGCAGTTGGTACGGAAAATATTGAGACCATTTATTTAACTGCAGCCATTTGCTAAAAATCTAAAAAGTTCATTTCGTTTCACTCTAATGTACCCTCAGCAGCTGTGTAACTTGCATTTTGTTTGTGTGTTCCCTCCATCAGAGGGCGGGTGATGCCGGTCAAGGAGAAGCGCTGCGCTCCACTCTGGATCTTGAACATTCTCGGGCCTGTGACGGGCAGTTTGAAGAAGAATACCAACCAATCAAAGCCGTGGGGAAAGGAGCATTTGGTTTTGTCTGGAAGGCAATAAGACGCTCCAACGGACAAGAAGTAGGAGATAGTTTTGATGTAGAACTTTGGTAAATGTAGTACCGCTCCTGTTTACATGCAGTTTTTTTCCTCCTAACAAAACATGTGCAGGTCGTAGTGAAGTTTATTAACAAAGCAAGAATAATGAGTGACTGCTGGGTGGATGACCCGATGCTGGGAAAAGTGAGCCAGGAGATTGCCATATTGACCCGAGTCCAACACCATAACATTGTGAAGGTAACATTGCTGTTTTATAGCCTCAGGCAAACTAGATTATTTTATACTTTACATATCACTTTGCGTGTGTGTGTGTGTGTGTGTGTGTGTGTGTGTGTGTGTGTGTGTGTGTGTGTGTGTGTGTGTGTGTGTGTGTGTGTGTGTGTGTGGATGAACCTCTAGGTGACAGAGGTGTTTGAGAATGAGAGTTTTTTCCAGATGGTGATGGAGAAACATGGAGATGGTTTGGATCTTTTTGAATTCATAGACATGCAGCCAAGGCTGGATGAGCCGCTGGCCAGCTATATCTTTAGACAGGTAATGGTAACGACCAGCGATGGCACAGATGGAAGGTTAACTGAAGTGTTTTTGTGACTCAAGGTTCTGTGCGTTTCTGTTTTCCAGATTGTGGCAGCTGTTTTCTATCTGAGGACCAAGAACATCATTCACAGGGACATAAAAGATGAAAACATCATAATTGACAAATGTTTTCACATTCGACTGATAGATTTTGGTTCTGCTGCCATACTGGCTCCAGGGAAGCTGTTCTATAACTTTTGTGGGACGCTGGAGTATTGTTCACCAGAAGTGCTTCAGGGAAATCCGTGAGTCTTTCATTCATGCGAATAATAAATCAAATGCTTCTTAGACAAGTTCATAAACACTGGTCAGTTTTTGGTATGCATATGTTTGTTTTTTTTCTAAATTAGGAAAAGTTTATATTTTATTGCATTGGCCAACCAATGGACTAATACACTTTTTAGCAGAAATATGTCGAAATAAAGGTAAGCATGTGTGTAAGATATGTTCCTTTAAATATAAAAAATAAATATATTTCACTCTGGCTTATGTGAGGCCAGACAAACTGCCATGTAGCTTCCTGTTTCTACAATGTTTGTTGTGGATGGTAGCTCAGGAGCAAAGTATGAATTAAAGATGAGATCCATAAAGCCATTTCAGTGACGAGGACACTTTAAAAATTGCAACAATTTTTGTTTTTCTGCTCATTTAGTTCCTGTTGCACTTAAAAATTTCAGTGTGCTGCATTATGTGTAATGTAAGATCTGCCTTTTGGTTTCATCAGGAAAATATACCAATTACAAACTTTATGATGGCAGATAAATGATACAATGATCCCAATATTTAGTCATTACATAGCAGCGGTCCCCAACCTTTTTTGCGCCACGGACCGGTTATATGTTAGGCAATATTTTCACGGACCGGCCTTTAAAGTGTGGGGGGTAAATACAATCAAATAAAATGATAAGACTGGCATAAAATCAAATACGAACAGCATAAAAATAAAACTCACCATTATGTTGAATTAGTGAGAGCCCTGAGCTTGTTTCTCCGTAACGTGCTCCTAATGTCCTGTCTGCTCCGTAGCTTTGTTTTGGTCGCTGTAACCGCAGAAAATCCCGCTTGTGCGGCCCGGTACCAAATGACCAACGGACCGGTACCGGTCCGCGGCCCGGTGGTTGGGGGCCGCTGTTATATGGCATAATGGGTAAAAATGGTATTCTAGAGTGCTATATGTTTAGAAACGCATGTATTCAGGGCATTTATGAGTTTTCTACATTTGTTTTCTTTAAAAACAATTAGATTATATGTATTTCAAACTAAAACACATGAAACTAATTTTCTAGATTAGTGAAGTTGATCAGACAAGAGTTATTAGAGTTGTTCACAGGTTCTGTTCCTCCCTTTAGAGAGCAATAAGACTTCCCATGCAGAATCTAGGTCAGCACTCAGATACAGCCCTTCATAAACCATTAAACTTTATAATGTTTACAGAATCCATGTGTTCAGAATGCAATACTTCTTAAACTAAAACAACAAATGCTAAACACTGTATTGACTGCTGAGGTGAATCTGATGATTGCGCTCCTCTTCCAGCTATGAGGGTCCCGAGCTTGAGATGTGGTCTCTGGGCGTTCTGCTCTACACTCTACTGTTCAGTGAGAACCCATTCTGTGATGTAGGGGAAATCCTTGAAGCCAAACTAAGGCCTCCCTTCCCCCTGTCTCCAGGTATGCAGAAGTTCCCTCTTTCAATTTATTACCTCAGTCTTTTATAATTTGGTTATGCAAATATTCTTGGCGCCCCCTCTCAGAGCTGCATGCCGTTTTAAGAGGCCTGCTGCGCTCCAATCCAGCAAAGAGGATGACTTTAGACCAGCTTCTGTTGCAGTCGTGGATCAGCCAGCCCATTTCCCTCGTAGAATACAGCTGGACTGAGGTTGTTCCTTCTTCTCAGAGCTTCTGTAAGTAGTATTCAATATCTAGATTAGCTTAGGAACGAATTGGCACATTTTATTCTAAAAACTCATTATCTTCTAACAGGTTCTCCACAGAATCGGGACCCTAGTCCGACTGAATACGTCAGCCCAAGTCTGTTCCCAGATTATGGTGACGAGACTCTGTCAGAGGAAGACGAGGAAGAGAATCAGTCAATGGTGGCCCTGGAAACTGAGCTCCAAAAGTACCTCTCTGGGGATTGATTACTAGATTTAAAATGGCAGCAGCCTAACAGTCTGTCAGACATGAATATCCTAGTTACAACACAAGAAAAAATAAGCTTTTTAAATGGACATTTTTTTAGAGCAATTCATTTTTGTTAGTAATTAGAAAGATTTTAATGAATATGTATATATTTATATTTTTTTATAATCAGCTTTTCACAGTCTCCCTCCAGTCATAGTTCATGATCCTTTAGGAGGAGATGAGGTGAAGCTATAAACAGAAGAACCTAAATCTCTTTAGATTTATTGTTTGATTTCATTTTCTGAAATTGTTTTTTTAATACATTTTGTTCCTCTTTGCTAAAAAAAATACATCTAGCGTTGTAATCATAGATTCTCAGCTTTCTATTTTTTTATTAATTTATTTTTTTTGTGAATTACAGCTTTTTAATCAGAATTTTAATCTTGATGTTTGGATATTTTAATGACATGTAAAAACATCTAAAACACTTTTTGTATTTATTTTTATGCCTCAATAAATGTCTTCCCACAAACAAGTTCCAAACATCACTTGTTTAATTGCTTCTTAAGTGAAAGAACCTTGGAGTGAGAGGGGAAAGGAGCTGGACTCTAAGGAGGGATGTTATAGATGACCTTGAACAACATACTGAGTCAAATGAGGTTTATTTGAACAAACAAGAGCTGTGAAAATACCCTTTCTAATCTCAGACTGAAAGTTCTCCAAGAACACTTAAAGGTTCATGTCCTTTGAATACTGCTGACCTAAAAAAAACTGGACACCTTGAAATTGAATCAGTGTACAGGAAGTGGTATGTCTGGTTATTAATGTCAGTATAGATGTGGAAGGTATGGAAGTGCATGAAAGCAAGAAACAAACATTTACAATAAGTAGACGTGCACACTACACATTAACCATCAGAGCTAAAGGGGAAAGGTTTAAAGCGTGAGGAGGTTAAACCTGAATCATGGTTTCTGAGGTAGCAACACCACGGGCACCTTTCCCTGCAAATAAAGAGAGATTTAATTGTCCAAGTATCACTGTGTGTGCAGAGTACAGAACAATTGTAAATGGCAGTGATGGAAGTTTTTTTTGTTTTTTTTTTTTGAATATAGTCAGAGGTTAGAAGAGTACCCAAATCTTTTATCAAATAAGATCACTATAACTTTTTTTTCTACTTAAGCATAGCTAAGTAGTTACGGTATCCAACTACTCAAGTTAGTAAAATGGCTACTCAAATACTGAATAACTGTAGGCTTCTAACATCTGATTTAATGTTTGAAACTATGAGAGTTATGTGCTAATTCTGACTTCAATTAAAAAACTACAAAATTACCTCTTAATGGATTTCTTTTTCATCATAAATTTACAAAACCAGTCCTAACAGCAGGTCATGTCAGGAAATTATGAATTTGCAGATGCAATATCTACTATTCACTGAATTTTCACCTGCTCTCTGAATAGCTGAAGTTACTCATGGTGTGTAGAGTCACACCATGAGTAAATCAAGTAAATGTAACAAGTTACTGTCCACTTCTGCAAATAGCTTTATTGCTGGAAAGGAATTTAATGGGGTGGGATAAAATCGTGAAAAGTAAAGGTTCTGCTTTATTTTGTAAACTATAACACTTACCAAAAGTACTCTCCCTCTCATGGAAAGCATTGAATTGAGTAATTTCAATCTAAAGTTAAGCACTATGCTGAGGCACAGGACTCGAGAGCATTGGAGACCAGAGGAATTGAATTTGGCTCCCTGGAGAACTTCAAGAGAAATCTGTAAAGGTTGCAGCTTTTTTTGTTTTTGATTTCCAGGGCTAGATTTCTTGTTTCATATCTATGGATTTGGTTTGAGATAGGGCAGAAACTGCAAGTAAGGTCTTGTTTGATGCCAGTAGTGACTGCCCCCTATAAAGCTTTACTTTAAAACAAAAGGGCACCCTTGGATTATAAAGTGGGTTTGTCTTCAATTTAGGCTTAAGTTTAAAGGAAGACTGGTATATGGAGTACATAATAGGAGCAATAGTTTACTGATTATATTTGTTAAACTGACAATCTAAAAAAAAAAATATTGAGACTCATAAGAAAACCTTTATTTATTTATTTTTTTCTTTGAAACTATATGAAACACAGGAATGAACTTCAGTTCCTACCACAAAATTCCCCTGCTGTTACCTAGGTACCAAACATTGCATCAGGGAACGCTCTGTTTCTAGTCGGAAGATAATAAACGACGGACAATCATGGGGAGCCGTGTTGCTGTGCGGCTTGTGAGTTAAAATGCCTTGTTGCATTTAAACTTTTATTTTAAGTTAATTTCGATTGGTTGAAATAAGATGTTTGTTATCTTTTTAACTAAAGAAGCTCATTCGTAGACCAAGTGCTAAAATAAAAACTCGAAGAATCGATAGGAACCAAGCTAGTGAACCTGTTATAACCTTGTTAGGCTAACATTACAGTGTGTTACGTTGGTGTTTTGATTGTGATTTCTGTCTTTCACAGATTCTTCGACAGACTGTAAAAAATGTCTCCTCCTCCGCTTTCTTACCAGTCAAGGTTAAGCCCATGAATGGATCCCACCTCCCATCTTGGTGCCTGAGCTGCAGACTCTTATGTTCTGCCTCAGATCAGACTGCCTCTGTTTCATCCCAGAGCAGCCTAAGACTCTCTCCTGTTCTGTCCCTGCATTCTTTGAGCGATATGGGATTCACAGAGTCTCAGGCTGGTCAGTTATTCGACAGTGTGTCCAGGTTGAAAGGAGCCAGTGCTGCCAAACACGTCTTATCAACCCTTACAGTGCTATTTGTCCTGGGACTAAATCCCACTAGTGTGCAGAAACTGATTGACAAGTGTCCTGAGCTGTGCATGGTTAAAGAGACTCAGCTTCAGCAACGGATACAACATCTACGGAAGCTGGGTTTGGTTGAGGGTAAATATGTCCTCTAGCAACTGAAGAACTGATCAAAGCGTCAAACAGTATTTCACTTTTTATATTTTTACACATTTTGTCAGGTTGCAACCCAAAGCTTATTATATGCCCAATGAAAAGCATGGGGATGGCAGTATGATACTGCGGGGATGCGTTTCTTCATTTATTGATTGAAAAACTGGAATTTTTTGGTGGAACATGGACAAAGCTAATCATAGGTCAAATATTCAGATGTTTAGCTGTAAAAAATTTTTTTTACCATAAACCTTTTTTCACTCCACTTTACAGTCATGCAATTTTTTAGTTCATCACAATCAATCTCAATGGAATAAATTGCATTTTTGGATATAATATGATAAAAAAAAGTTGGAATTGAATACTTTTACATGGCAATGTACTTTAATCAAACATTTCCTATCGTCTCTCCTATAGGGAGTCTTCAGAGAACTGTGGTCCACTACCCTAAGATCTTAACCGTCCCTGTGAAGTCTGTAAAAAACGTGGTGCAGTTTCTCAGAGAGAAGTGTCAGTTTACCACCCAGCAGGTGACGGAAATCCTCCGAGATAGTCCAGCGGTGGTGTTGGAGGACTTGGACCAACTAGAGTACAAGTTTCAGGTCAGTATATAAAGAGCTTAAATAGAGCGGGTTTACTGTAAGGCTCTAAAGTTCTTTAAGAAAAAAAACAAACAAAACTTTCAATCAATGAAATTGTGCATTTCTTCCTTTACCAGTCCTGTTTTATTAAAAAAGGTAATAAATTACCTTTTTACCAAATGGGTGCCCGAAAAATGACTGCAGCAATTTACTAAATACTAAAAGCAGGAGCAACGTTTAATTTTGCTAACAAGACCATAGAGAAACTGATCAATTATGGAAATTTAATTGCAGTTTTGGCAAATTAAAAGAGAGGAGTGACATAAGAAGAAGAAACTGAGTTTGTCAATTTAAAATAAACTCTTAATAAAACTTATGAATTAAACTATAAATACATTTTTTCTGTATTATTGAAATTTGTATATCTTTTGCTTTTTTTAGATTTAGAATTGTTTTGTTTTTTTACATGAAAGGATTTTTAGATTTGTTTACATTTTAAAAGAAACCTTTTGGGCAGATTAGTTAGCTTTTACACTGATTTATTTACACTAAATGGAATTGGAAGTATAAAAAAAACATTTATTCTAGGTTGTTATTATATTTGTTTATACAAAAAAAATAAACCATAAAGCATTTTCTGTTTATATTTTTTCCCGTAGTTAACTGAAATCAATGTTGCATTAATATGATCTTTGCAGTATGACTGATATAACATATTAAATAGAACACACTCCTAAGATTTTCCATATGAGGACATAATAATATTACTACTTATTAATTATACTGTCTTTCTGAAATCGGCATTTCAGCTTTTATTTGTTTAGAAAAAATTAAAAAAAAGATCTCATTGGGACACCTTTTCATACCATTTTTTTCTTGCAAGAGTAGATGTAGTCAAACTGTATGCATCAAAGGAAATTTCGATGCACACAGCTTTTTAAAAGGATTGAGCGGCTTACAGCGGTGAAATCAACATTACCATGTATTAAGTGCAGCAGTGATCAGAGTGTAAACTGTAGGAGAAAAGGAAAACCAGTTTCAAGTCATATCAAAATGGATTGATATGGAAAGGTTCGGTTCAGTGCAAGTGAATAAATATGGTGCAAAATTTAGTAGAACATTAGGCTGTGTTCTATTTAAAGGGATTATGTAAAAAATCAGCCATGTTGGTAGTGCAAATCTGATGTTTTCAAGTGTGATGCAGAGTCTTGATTAGAGTCTCAGCAGTTCAACAGTCTGATGGCAGTGGGGAAGAAGCTGTTGAAGAACCTGCTGGTCCTGCGGCAAATGCTGCAAAGCCTTTTCCCAGAGGGCAGCAGGGAGAACAGTCTATGGTGGGGGGTGAGGGGTCACTAATGATGTACACAATAGCAACATTAGCAGTTTGTCATGGTTCATTTCTGGTCATCTGCACAAGAGGTAATGTGTTACACAAGTAACTATACTTACTTACCAGCTGCCTACAGGTGAACTCTTGAATGTTGGACCCCCACCCCGCTATTTTTTTGGAATAGAGACTAGAGCAATTATGGCAAGGCTGGCTAATGTTAACTACCTTCTAATGTTGATGTCAATACAGGAGGAGGATCAAAATTACACTTCGTGGAGAGTTTATTATTCCCAAAATGAGCCCAGACCCCCCAAAAAAGCCACTTTGACACACCAGATTACCCAGCAGGTTTTAATTCAAGTTTAACACCAACAAACAGGTTTTAAAACGAAAGGTCAGATTTCTGGGTGATGACTTCTTTAAATACGCAGAGATAAAATGGTATGGTTAAAAGATTTTATGGGGCTTTTTTCTTTCAATGAGCAATTACCAAATGACTACAATTTGCAAACTACAAACTGAAATTTGAGTTTTTTTTGTTTGTAGACTTAGTAATTTTTGACTTTTTATTCTTTCTAACTGCATGCGTTAAATACTGTCTCCACAGTACGTTTACTTCCGAATGGGAATCAAACAAGCAGAGATGGTGAAGTGCAGGTTGTTCCGTTTCACTATGGAAGATGTGCGCTGTCGTCACGTTTTCCTGGAGCGTCGAGGCCTGTACCAAACCCCGGACAAAAAAGGACAGACCACTATTATTAACCCCAAACTGGACAGCATCCTTAACGTGGACCAGCACACATTCATCGTAGATGTTGCTCAGGCGTCGGCTGAGGAATATGATGTGTTTCAGAAACTCTTGGCAAGAGAGTGGAAGGAGGAAGAGTTGGAGCATGGCAGCATCGAAGCTGATAGCGACGAGGAAGAGGATGACGAAGGAGAGGAACCCGATGGAAAAAGTGGATATAAGAAGAAGAAAAAGAGATAATTGAGAGCTGTTAGAATTAAGCATTGCATAAAGAATACATTGCGTTATTTAATGAATGTATGCATCTAATCAAATAAATGAACTGCTCCATTTTTACTGCTTCCTCTGTCTCTTCATGCCTGTGTATCTTTAGGCCCCAGAAAAAAGTCTGGTACTCACTTATGGACCTGTTTGTTCTTTCCTAGATTTTTCTCAATCTGCTGACGAGGAACTCGTTTTTGTGTTAGTTTAGGTGGCGTCATCATGCTGAGGTGTGATGGGTTTAGTGTGACCTTAGTTTAACTCATGCTGACTGAATATATATATATATATATATATATATATATATATATATATATATATATATATATATATATATATATACGAGGCGTTGAATGCTGCAGGGGAAATTTGCCATCTTCAGAGAAAACAAATAGAATCTTGGGTAATCACAAAATAAGATTTAATAAGCTGAAAAGAGGGGAAAAAACAGTAATAGGAATAGGTAAAAGCACAAAGTCCCACCCTGTTACTATGTGACTGACAAGTGGTTTCAGCTTTTTGCATCTCTGTCTTATCACTGAGTCAACAGAGAATCTGTGAGATAGAGGCAGCATGTGGGAGAGGTTGTACCATGGATGATCATTGATTTGTGCAGCACAAGCGGCATTTTGTCTTAGAAATAAGGTAAGATACCCACATTCAATCAATAAAAACGTCCTGATTTGTTGTTACCAAGAATTATATCAGGCAGCTGAATTGGTGTTAAACCTGTCTGAACGGTAATGGCATTTATATCTTGTTTGCATTCTGACCTTTGAAATGTATTGTTTATAAGTAATGCCCTATGAAATTTATGAATTGGCATGTTTGATACCAACTTATATCATCCTTTTCATTTTTAGAGCCCTATTAATTATACGCATTTCTTTTCATTAGACATGTACGAGTTACAGAGTCCCCTTTTATGAAGGGTTTAAATTTGAATGCAGGCGAGAAGCACGCACTGTTGATTTCCATAATTACCTCTAGTAACCTAGTTTTATATGGGCTATGAATTATAGTTGGATGACCTATAAGAACTGAGAAGTGTCTATTGCTGCAAAAGCATAGTCATTCAAAAACTGTTTATGTTTGACATTGACTTTATGGTGTCCACCTAGTAAGGTAATTTCTGCTGCAAGCAGGATATAAAAAGGAGACATGAATTGCATTATAAAATGGTTTATTTCTTATACAATTATTTTAAGTCGTTCAACTACGAGATGTTGCATAACAATCAAAATGTATTTCTGGATTAGACTTTATTATGCGCCTGTATTTACAGTAATTTCCGATGTTCTTTCCCAACAGGACGTAACTGGACAACGTGCAGGGCCATATAAATCCCCATTATCATCTATCCGTGTTTCCCCTCCAAAACAATATCGCAATGACGTCGTCCGAAGTCATTTTTAATCTCACAAAGGATTGGACTGAAAGCATGGAGCACTGGCATCTTCACTTCTTTATCATCCCCAGCGTTGTCATCACTGTGTTCTCATTTATTGCAGACCCCGTTGTCCTGGTGTGCATTATTCTATCACGTCCTTTACGTAGAGAGACCCGTTACCTGTTGATGGCCAACACCCTGGCTGCAGACATTCTCTTCCTCAGCCTCAACCTGGTCACTTTGATTGGTAATGCTGTGAAGGCTAAAATACCCTGGCTCCTTTGTGAGCTTTTCACCGCCATCCTTGTCACAGCCTACAGCAGTGCCATCCTCACTGTGACTCTCATGGTGGTTGACACCTTTGCCGCAGTGCGCTGGCCTCTCCGTTACCATAACCTCCTCTCACCAACCCAGACCCACGGCATACTGGGCATGGTGTGGATCTTGTGCGCCATATACCCTTTCACGTTGATGATGATGATGCAGGATGAGAGTCCCCATGGGAAAGTACCTGTGTGTCTGGCTCTCATCTCCTTTGGTTTCTTTGAGGCCAAGGCTGTCGAGGGGATCTACATGTACTTCTTTGTTTCTGCACTGATCTGCAGCTTTATCATTCTCTACTGCTACATTCGCCTGTACATGGTGACAAGGACGCAGGGAATCTGGCACAGCCGCTTCTCTAGGGCTCGGGTCACAGTGCTGGTCCACGGAGTTCTTCTTCTGCTCTATTTTGCCCCTGGCTTTGTTTTTGCCCTGGAGCTCTTCATCTTTCCAAGGAAAAACATAAGTCAAGATCTTCGCGTCTGGATCAGTACAGTCAATGCTAATATCTTCATGCTGCTGCCTAGGGCACTTGCTCCTTACCTGTATGGTCTGAGGTACCGCGAGATTGCTGAAAGTCTCACACTTCTGCTACACTGGAGCAGGAGAAACCGGGAAAACACCTCATCATGAAGAGCTGCCTACTATGCAGACTAATGACCATGTGGTTTACGGCCTAGTTTTTGGGAACTTGTTGCCTAAAGGTCTGTTTTGATAAGGTTTGTTCAACTATAATGTTGAACTATTGTTTTTAAACATATCCCAATTAAACTTTTAATGCCTACATGATCAGATTAACAAAATATGTATGACAAATTGTTCATGTTCTAAGAATCCAGGTCATGGTCCCTGCTGCACCTGTACATTCTTTTGTTTGGCAATTTCTTTTGGCCATTAATGTTTCCTTTTAGTGCTGAAAATTTGTTTCTAAAATTTTCTGTCAATTTGTCACTCTTAAGTAATATATGGATGCTAAATGATCAAATGTTTTCGTAGACATAATTTCAAATCACTTATTTAATTCTCTAGTTCTAGATTAAGACTACAAAGAAAGTATACTACAGTTGATCACCCAAAGACAACTTGATCAACTTGTTTTAGAAATAAACCCGCAACTACTATAGCCTTCATTTCTTTTCAGTTAACTGAGAAAAGATTGTCTGTTGGTCCCTCGTGTTGAAGAAAGAGCTGAGCAAAAAGGCAAAGCTCTCGATTAACTTGGTCTATGTTCCTACCGTAACCTATGGTCATGAATTCTGGATCATTATGGAAAGAAAGATTCTGGTTACAAGCAGCAGAAAGTAGCCTTCTTCACTGGGTGGCTGGGTTCTCCCTTAGAGATAGGTTGAGGAGCTTGGTCATCCAGGAGAGCCGCTTCTCCACATGGAGAGGAGTTAGCTGCTGTGGCTCGGACATCCTTTTCAGATTCCCCCTAGACACCTCCCTCGGGTGCTGTTCCGGGTATGTCCTCCTAGGAGGAGGCCCAGGGGACGACCCAGGACACGCTGGAGGGTCTATGGGCTGGGAGCACCTAGATCCCCCCACAGAAGCAAGTATAGGGGTGTCCCAGAACAGGAATTTCTGGTAGTCTCTCAAATACTAGTTTTCAGTTTGATTTTTTTTTTTTAACCACTGAATTCTAAAAACTGCAAACAGCCTTATATCCAGAATAGTGGATATTCAACTAGTTTTTAACTTCTTCAGCGATAGATTTAAAGTGCAATGATATTTGACAAGCATGTCTCTTTCCACCTTGATGTCTCATCGGGTGTTTCCTGTTTAATCTATACCTTAGCTTTTAAATAATGTTTATGTCTGTCATGTTGCAGCCTTTCAACATCTTGTACCATCTTGAGCTTGTAGCTCCCTTTTTTGAATGAAAATTGTATTTTATTCTCGTCATTACCAGTTCATTTGCCTTTGTACCCGATATGAATTTGAATACAAGTATTTGAATGTCTAGAAACGTTACAGTTAGCACTGTTCCCTTGTAGTAAGAATGCCTAAGGTTGCATTCCTAGCTGAATTCCCTCCATGTGGGCTTTGAATAATCCCCCTCATTGGATCAAAGGTTCTTTCTTAATATTTCACCTTCCTTAACTAATAATTGCACACTGAATTTATTACGTGCTGCCTGTCGTTTAATTTCAAGCAAGAACACATCCTTGCAACCTGTAGTTTGTTAGTTTTGTGTATTTTATATTTAAGAACTTGTTTGTATTTATTTAGTATTTATTTGCCATGTTTGATTGCGATATTATTACCATGAATGTAAAATGTTCTGCCTAATGTGGTATGAAATCCTGTTAAACATGTTAAACAAGTTTACAGTTTCCTAACTGCATTAAAATAAACACTTAACTATGTTAGCTGTCTGAGCCTTGTTTGTCTAAAACATGGTGTGTAAATAGATCATCGGCATGGTGATTTATGGTCCCTGAAGAAGAGAGAATGGTGGCAATCTGTGTGTTTCAGCAACTCAACAGCAGAGGGACACATTTGTCTGTTTAACAGCTTTTCTGCTATTGCTTGCAACAAGAAAAGAGCAGAGGTGTTTTCTAAACCTTGGGCATATGACCTTTGTGCAGCACATTCTACAGGTGTTAACATTTGCCAGCATTTCTAGCTCTATCATTCTAATCCTTGATTGATTCAACAACAAAACTTAACCTATATTTGTTTTATTTGCAAAAACAACTTTAGTTTTCTCTATGTTGCTTTGTTAGGATCGGCAGGTGTTTCCTAATCTTGATTATTGCAACATGGACTTTTAGGGTTTCTTCAAAAAAAAAAAAAAAAGCAAACAAAAAAATGTACAATTTGGTCATTACCTATCATCCTAGTCCTATTTGAAGGTTTAGACTTAGACAGATTTATTTGTAATTTGTTTACACAAGTATACAAAGAAAAGACATTTCGTTTAGAACAGCTCTCTGGACAATTTCTTTTTTTTTTTAAAGTGCAGCTTTGGAAAAATAGTAATATATATATATATATATATATATATATATATATATATATATATATATATATATATAAAAGTAATATAAACATATGACTGAATTTACAGTTCTAACATTTCAGTTTTTTTCTGTTAGGTTTTCAAGTTTGCTCGTTGAAAGTGGAGGGTTATCTGGTGTAAACCTATAAAAACAGTATTTTGCAACATTAGCAGGAAGTTATGACATCCTTTGTTTCAACTAAGTTCCTCCTTCCTTGTCACCGCTTATATGCTTTATAACTATGTTATTACTCAAAAAACATGTTTTAGTTTTAGGTCGTTTAAAACTACGAAGCGGCTAACGATCAACTACACTTTTACATAATAACTGCTTAAATGGCTCATAAATCGTTTGTTGTATTTAATTCTTTCCTTCAACCTGTTTTGTTATGACTTTTTTCCTCCGGTATAGTTGGCGTTTGTTTGCAAACAAAGGGAAGCCACGTGGAGAACTGGTGCCTCACGGGGTCCGTAGTTTTCTTGTCCAAAACATCTCTGTTTAAAAAAGGACGCAAAGACTGCATTACCCAGAATGCATCACTAGAAACTGCGTAGGTCCTGTGGAACGTTTTTTTTTTTTCTCTTGACAAGCAGATGTAGCCTATATAAAGGGTTCTGTTTACAACAGAATCAGGTAGTTGAGAGTCTTTGTTTTAGTATTTAGTATCACGTCAGGATGTCCCGTTTGTGTCATATTTTGGCGTATTTTTCATAACAGTTCGATTAAATATATCATATAAGAAGGGGCGAACTTTTCAACAGTTTTTTTTTTTTCTAATATTTTTTTTCCCCCTTTGTTTTTCCTTTACTCATAACAGAAGACATAGGCCGCATCTGGAAGCTTCTGTTAAAGGTAAAAAACACTTTTTTTCTATTTGCACAGATTTAATAGGCTTATTTCTTATTAAAATCTATATTTATTTAACAAGAATTTAGCTAACTTTTTTTTTGTGTTAGTCGGGCGCGAGGCATGTTGGCTTTGTTTAACCGCCAGTTTGCTCAACCGTCCGCGCAGCTGCACTCACTTAAGTTAATTAGCAGTAATAACATATTATATCATTTTTATAGAGAAAAGTTATGCATTTTACATACTTATATTTCCAAATACAAACTTTAACAGAGGTATGAATTCAGTTTGTTTAAGTATGAGATACCAGGTTTATTTTAGGTCAGTGTTTCTATATATGAAATGTTTTCTTTGTTTCCTTTGAGGTATAGCGCATTAACAAAGCAAATGTCAGACGCCTCCTGGCTAAACCTGTCCTGTAATGTGTCTGACTACAGAGGCCTGCTGCTGCTGCGCTGCTGGCAAATAAGACACGTGAATGGGTTGAGTCTAACAAGTTAAAAATAACAAAGAGATAAATTACCTCACTGGAAGTAAAGCCTGTCTTCTTGTTAAATCTAAAAGAGGTGCTTTAGCCGTAGGCATTTTTTTTTAGATTGAGATTATTTCTTCTAAATTAATTTCTCTTTTGCAAATAAAACTACGTGTTCTTGGCTGTGAAACCTTTGTTATGTAATACTATTTCTATATTAGAAAAAAGACAACAAAAGGTTACATATAAAAGAAAACAAGATGCAAAATACAATTATCTACAAAATGTTACCGGAAAGAAACAGTCTGCATTAATTAAATATTTCCTGATAGCATCCCTCTTCAGTTTCTTTCAGCACAAACTTGACTGACATGTAAATTGGCCTCTAACCGTTTTTTTTCTTGCCTCTGCCTCTTTGTCATCCTCATTCTCTTCCCAGAAATTGTGCTCCAGGCCACAACTGTTTTGTAGAGGTGTTGAGCACGCCATAGAAAGCTAGGTGTGTTTATGGCGCTCACATTTGCCTCTTAAAAACCTTGCTTTTTATGTGAGATTAAAGCTGTTTTTTTGTTTCCCTAAATAAATAATGGAATTATAAGTAAGTTCAGTTTATTTCTTAAGCACCACTTTACTCTAAATGTGGGGTTGGATGCAAGAGATTGCCCTGCAATAAGAGGGTTGTCGGTTCAAGCCCCGGCTCTGGCTTTCAGTGTTGTTGTGTCCTTGGGCAAGACACTTTACCTGCTTTGCCTACTGATGGTGGCCCGGTGGCACCAGTGTACAGCAGCCTCGCTTCTGTCAGTGAGCCCCAGGGAAGCTGTGGCTACAATGTAGTTTGCCACCATGAATGAGTGAATGACTGATTGTAGTGTAAAGCACATCTTATAGCACTGTATGGAAATAACAAGTCCCAATTCATATCCAGAAATGACTTCAAGACTATTATATCTTATTAAATAGACAGATTGAAATTAAATTTCAGTCTTTGTTGATGATCACAATGCAGTTGGGTCAAATTTAGTTTCTAATGTGTCGTGGTAAAAAAGTTCGCTTTTGTTGACTCTTCATTCTTCAATCCATTCCCTGATTAATACCAACATGGATACTTTATATAAGCATTTTTTTTTATGCTGTGCTAATTTAATCATTTTAGATCACCCATAAGTTTAAGGAGCGTGTCTGGTAAAGGTGGTAGCCATGGTGTTGATTTTGGGAAGAAGAGTAAACAACATCAACTCAGGCACCAAAGAGTCGCCGGTTGTCAAACGCAAGGTACTGCATTTTCTAAATATAAATATGTTTTGTCTAAACCATAATTTTCTGTCATATTTATGAATCTATTTTTGTTTTCTCAAGGTAATGCCAGTTGAATACAAAATAGGCGATATCTTTGACTTCTGCTCTGGTGCATCACATTCAGAGGAGATTCTTAAGGTGTTCAATGAGTTTCGTGACTGCCGCCTTTTTACTGATGTGATCATCAGTGTGCAGGGACGCGAGTTTCCCTGCCACCGTGCTGTTCTTTGTGCCTGCTCCTCCTACTTCAAAGCCATGTTCTGCAATGATCACCGTGAGAGCCGAGAAATGCTAGTTGAAATCAACGGGATTGTGGCCGAAGCGATGGAGTCCTTCCTCAACTATGTTTACACTGGCCGGGCCAGGATCACCACTGAGAATGTCCAGTCCCTCTTTGAAACCGCCAACCTCTTCCAGATCACTACACTTAGGGATGCTTGTGCAAAGTTCCTGGAAGACCAGCTGGACCCATGCAACTGTCTTGGCATCCAACGCTTTGCAGATGCTCACTCTCTCAAGCAGCTTGCCAGCCAATGCAAGACTTACGCGCTGGCCAACTTCACAGAGGTGTCACACCATGAGGAGTTCCTTGACCTACGCCTTGAAGAGCTGAAAGACTATATTTGCAGAGAAGACCTGTCTGTCAGTAAGGAGGAGATGGTGTTTGAGGCAGTTATGAGATGGGTGTACCACAATGTGGAACTGAGACGACCCATGCTGAAGAGTTTGCTGCAGCACGTTCGGTTGCCCCTGCTTCACCCCAATTACTTCGTCCAGACAGTGGAGGGAGACGAGCTCATCCAGAATGCTCCAGAATGCTACCAGCTTCTCCACGAGGCTAGGCGCTACCATGTCCTTGGAAATGAAATGATGTCACCCAGAACCCGCCCACGCAGGTAACGAAAAATCTTTGTATCCTTTGGTATGAGGAAGGTGCAGGGAACTTGGATATGAATGCCTATGGAAGTAATGACTTCTAATGAGTAATATTTCCAGAGAAATAAGATCTTGATTGATCTCATCTGTCAGTCATTTGTTTTTGTTTCTTTTTCTTTTTTGTTTTTTTTCTTCGCTATTTCAGCGTGAAGAAAAGTTTCTTCTAAACTCGTTGCTCTCAGCTGCCAATGTGTTGTTGTAGCTGCTTGTCACAGAGACACAGACAGGGTGTTATTGTGCTGGAGAGAGAAGAAGTGTGGCATTCCCTTGGCTTTGTTTTGTAGCTCTGTCTTGAAATGTAAATGATAGATGGAGGCAAGGCATGTTCAAACATAGACAGCTGTTTAAAAAAAACATTATGATGCAAGAACTAGCAATCAAATGAAAATATCGAGTCTTGTTTTTCTACCATTGTCAAAGCTCACACGTTTTTTCCTTACGTTCCTGTTTGTTCACCGTTCATAGATTTCCCAAAGTTTCATTTATTACTGATGGTTCATCTGTTTGTTGCTGGAAGGGTGTCCAGTTGGACTCACTAATACAGGACAAAGGATAGAGCTAACTAAACGCGATATTTAAAAACAAGAGCATATGGTGGGCTACCTTACATAATGAGCAGTGCAGCTGCATTGGTAATTTGAACTCTGTGAATTGTCAAAACTGGGACTGGTGCCAGCTGTCAGTTATTAAGGCTGAGCAACATGAATTTCAGGTGTTTTGTCATTATCCAGACTGGGTTGTTCATAGCAGCAAACCAGTTAGGCAGTTGGTCCCTTTCTTTATTGTCTTGCCTAGAGGGCCAAATGGGGATCAAAACAGATGCTTGTTTTTTTTGGCTTTGTGTGGATACCAGAGCCTTTCCTTTCTTCAGAGCTGGCAGATGTATAATTGATCTGTTGCACACACACAGATGTAGCTTATGCTTTTTAGACGTATAGACCACTGGCGGCTGGTCAATAGAGGGCGCCAGGGCACCCCACCACCCAATGACCTTGATTAAGACATTAAAAAAACAACAAAAAATGTAATTATAAAATTACAATATTTCGAATTATATTTATATATTTTTTACGTGTGCAAGATAAATATTTAATCTTTAATGAAAAGTTAAACTGTTTTGTTTGTCGTCATATCGGTGACGTATTTCCGCCCTGGGGCACAAAAATCTTTGGCCATAGACTCTCTTTAAAAGTTGTACACGAGCAGTAGCTCCTCTGCAATGTAAAAGGATAGGAGAGCTCGGGGCGCAGGAGAGCTGCGCCCTATTCTGACAGGAACCGTCGTCACAGTAGTACTGCGGCTGATTGACAGGTTGGAACTGAACTCCCTTAAATCAAACTTACCAAGATAAGCTGGAGGTGAAAGTGTTTGGAACTGATCAGTTGAACATTAAAATTAATCAGTAGTCTTAAAGACAGATGGAGACGGTTCACTTTTTCCAGGACCTGGTTTAGCTACATTACTCGGCTAACTGCATTAAGCAAGACTAATGCTTGATTCTGCTTTCCCTGCCTTTCAACTGTCCCTTTTTCAAACATAGGGATCTGACCCAGCATGGATAAAGGCAGCTATAACTGATTTAAAGCACATTTTAGAAAAGGCAAAGAGGAATGAACAATCTGGGATTCACATGGGAAAATAATATAACATAGTGTTCTTTTTCTAGATGTTTGTTAATTTGCATAATTGCTCTTAAATAAACACTCAGAAAATAAATAGTTTTATATATTAAAAAAATATTAAGCTGATTAATAGCTTTTCTATTAAGCTGGTAAATCTTTTTTAAGTTTGTAACACACTATTGGACCTTGCAGAACACAGATTTGCCTTCACAAAGCCTCAGAAGGGCAAGATTTATGTACAAAAAGTACATGTACCTGTACATGAAATTGTGTTTTTGTTTTATAATGTGTTTTTATAATGTTTTTTGTTGTTGGCATTTATATGAATATACTGGTGTGATAACTTAGTATACCTTTGATTGGTTTTTGGTCTATTTTGAATGTAAAGATCCCCCTGGAGAAAACTCCACCAGCCGCCACTGGTATAGACAATTAAAAGCTTAATCCTCTCAACACCGGCCAATGTTGGATTTGCTCTCTCCCACATGCATAGCTGTAGTTTTGTGTATTTGTCAGTTTAAGTTTTTTTTCTTCCCCATAATGAGCTAAATTTTGCTTTGAAGATGTGCTCAAGGGGAAGATGGCAAATAATCCCTGCTAAGCATACTTCTTCAATTAGAAATCGTGATTCTAACATGTTATAAGGAAAAAGTTGATGTTGTCTTTTGTATAATTATACAGCTGTAACACTTTTTTAATCAATACTTTTATGTCTAACTTAACCTACTGTCCTCTACTCAGGTCAACTGGCTTCTCAGAGGTGATTGTTGTGGTTGGGGGTTGTGAGCGAGTGGGGGGCTTCAACCTGCCCTACAATGATTGCTATGATCCAGTAACAGGAGAATGGAAGTCGCTCTCAAAACTGCCTGAGTTCACCAAGTCAGAGTACGCCGTCTGTGCCTTGCGCAATGACATCTTAGTGTCTGGTGAGAACATGCTGTGTTTTTGTTTTATTAGTTGTATTTTATCAAGTCTTTAAATCACGTATAACCAAAGTGGGAAGGCATCAGTTCTGGAGTCCTACAGGGTTTCCTTATTTTTCTTATTTTCCTAGCTTAGCTTAACCTTTTGCCATTGTTGTATGCTGGTGAGGATTCTGAGTCATCCAGGTCAAAGTCATTTCAAAAAAGTTTTTAAAAAGTAAAAAAAAAAACACTTGACTTTGTTTTCCAAGTTTGAAGATGTTTTGCTTCCTATCCATCAATTCAAAAATATCTGGCTTAGAGTTGAGTCCCAGGCTTTTATTTTTTGCTATTGTTATTAACCTGAAAGTTTGACCTGGAGTGGCTAAGAATTTCCTGGTAGAAATAAATAACAATGAAAATATTAACAATGATTTTTGTGACTCTGACAAGGCTGATATCCTGTCTAAGTTGATGCATTGTAGTAGATATTAGCTTGATATTTCGTCTCTTCTTTACTACTTTTTTGAGTGTGTTTAACTGCTAAATATTTACCTCTTATAATACCTCTTCTTTTATTTGTTTGGCTCCACTTCTTTCTCTTATATCACTAAAAAAAGGACACCCTGCACTGATAGTTTGTATGTGCAAAATATAAGCAAGCTGAGTGGTACAAGAAAAGGGGAATTACATTGTTGTAATTACTTATTAACAAAGTTTTCACTTACTCAGCAATTTGTCAAACAGAAAGAATTTTTAATTACAGGTAATTTAGGAAGGTCTTTACCTTTTTTTCCTGTTTTTTTTTTTTTTTTTTTTTTTTTTGGTAAGTAAGTAGTAAGGTAAACCTCATAACATACATAAAAGGACAATGTTACTCTAAAACTATATCTATACATCCTTAAGGCTTTGCTTTTTCACCATCCAGTGTTTTTAATGTTGGCAGGAAAGCTAATGGTCAGTTCTGCCCTCTGTCATTTTTACCCCCTAACAGTTTCAGCTGTGCAGGAAAAGCTGAAAACATCTGGAGCTCTTTAGGCCTAGTGCTAGGAGACGCTTTTATTTGTCAGCTCAATCTTCCTGTTGGTTAACTATTTAGTTTATCTCCCTTTTAGCTGCATCCACAGAGTCTTGTGTTCAGAGAGTTCTAGATACACTTTCCTGCTCTTCAGATTGTACAGTGAATAGTTTTTAAACAAAAGAGAATCCTAAATATCACAGCTCTAAAGACTTCCTGGTAACAGCTGGGTTTCCTAAATTAAATGTGTGCCAAAAGAGCTTAAACCTCCTCTGAGGGGAAAAATAGGGACTTGGATTATGTAAGACATGTCTATGACCTGCTTTGTTTTTTTCAAATTAAATCCAAATATAATCGTCATCTCAGCTCAAATAACTGAAGTTTTACTTTAGAATTGCAATGTGGACAGTGGTGCAGTTTTTTATGTTTGTATAACTATTTTAAGAAAACTGAGTAATGGAAATGGTTGGGAGTTTATGAGTACTGTTTGTGCTTACACATTCTGTGAAAAAGTTATTCAACATTACAGCTAAAAGAAAGTTTTTTAGCATAAGAAAATGGAGAGAAAATGAGAGGAAATAAGGAAAAGTGTCCCTCTAAGCAAAGAGTGTGCTGGAATCTGTCCATGTGCCAAGTCCTCACATGTGAGCTATAAATCTGTTCTCAGACTGCTTGAAAACATACAGTGCTCCTCCCCCAAAGTTTTATGACTGACACGCACGTTACATATACATAACTTGTTTATAGTCCTAAGATTCTCGCTGCCCCACTTTTTTTTCTCGGTGGTATGATTGTGTTGATTGTGTTTGGTGTAGTTTTCCCCTTTGTCCTTTATACTTCTATTTACATTTGTGTACGTTCCTCCTTCCTCTATGTCTTTCCCTTTTCTCACAGGAAACGGGTACAAATGCAGTCCCTAATCCATAACCCAGCACAGCTGCAGCCTGTGGGCTTAATCTTTGTTTGGCTCAGTTGCAGATACAAGCTGTTGTTTTTTTTTTTTTTTTCCTGTCCATTGACAGGAAGCGTGCCAACTTACAGATAAAAGGCCATTAAAGCGAATAAGTGTAATATAAGAGCATTTTTTTCTGCTATCCAAAGGTACACATAAGCTTGCCTCATGTATAGTTACAAATTACAGCCAATTACTGGCATAAAAGCAGAGTATAAGTTAATGTTTTGATTATTACATTGGGACATCTATCAGTCAAAGGTTTGACGTGTTTTTTAAAAATACCTTGCTAAATTCCTTTCTCTATTTTAAGTCACTCAGCAACCATTAACATATTTCATCCTAAAAAATCAACAACATAGCCTCAAGGCTAGCAGACTGTCTGGCACTTTTATTATCAGGAACATTACTAAATAGGCACATGCTGCAACTATCTTTCCTTCCTGTGTCTCTATCTGTGACTTTGCCTTCCGGGTCATTTTGAATCACTGACTACTATTTGAAATTGATGATCACATAAACAATTAGTGTAAAATTTGGTGGCAAACACTTTCAAAGCGTGATAGGGCAAACAAGAATTGGAAAATACCATTTTGAGGAAAATGTACTTGTTCTAACCATACCCACCCATCTAGTGTTTTTGTAAATGTTCTATATGATACAATTATTGCTTTGTTAAGATTTTATTTTTATTGAATACCTGCTGTGACATCTCTTTTTAGACTAGTGAGGGCTCTTTGTGGTTTACCATTAAAATGACAATAGTTTTGTTAATATAAAACATAAAGATACATAAAAGATAACTTCAAACCCGGCTTAAAATGATAGAAGGTGTTGAAAATATCTAATGTTTCGGTAGAACCCTATGTTTATACTAAATGCTGCCTCCCTATTGAGAGGCCACAGCCACATGTCTGAACTTGTTGAAAGCAAACCTAGTGACGTAGTGACTTTGTTATCAACATTGATTTTTATTTTTATTTATTTTGAGTTTTTTTATTTATTTTTTTACTTTCTTTAGGGTTAAAAATTATGACAGTTTTAAATGGGCTCTATCTAATTATATTACACTGAATTGAAAATTGTCTCACTGTTTTAGTAGTCAGCTGATGAATCTGGGTGAAAATATTCATGTCCTTTTTTCTTTGTGCTGGAGGCCAATATGTTGAATAATACATGGCCCTTGGTAAGCTTTGCAGGTGTATTTGTATTAGTGGTTTGCCTCTTTGTGTTCCTGCTCTTCTTTTCGCACAATCTTGTCACATTTGTATCAAAAGTGTTTTGTTGTGCCTACAGGAGGCCGGATTAACAGCAGGGATGTGTGGCTGTATAACTCCCAGCTCAACCTTTGGATCAAAGTGGCTTCTCTTGTCAAAGGCCGCTGGAGACACAAGATGGGTGTCCTGCTTGGCAAGGTAAATAAAACATGAAGCTCACGTGTCGGTGTAAGATTTTCAACTCTTTTCTTTTTTATTACAGCTTGATATTTTGGCTGTAGCTTGCACCACAGTGGTACCTAGCATGTGGCCGACTGGTTTCCTAGTTGCACAATCCCACATGCACTGCAAGGGATTATTTGCGTGAGATACAACAACTTTAACTACTCCAATGGGGCTTTTAGGTATACCCAGGAAGCAGAACATGATATTAAGTGTCTGTATGTGGATGTTAGGCTTTTGTTTACACAACATCAAAGACAACATGTTTTTGCATGCAACTCATCTGGATGGCAGTAAGATTTGGCATATGCACCAAATAGTACAGTAATTAGATGTTATGGAGAGGCTGCAGTCCTTGTTTACACAGAAGCCAGTAAAGCATTCTTCAGAGGAATCGTAGTGGGGGGCAGAGTTTCACCATACTTACTTCTCACCTGTTGTGATTCATGTTACTCCAGTGGGCTTTAGGAATTCGGAAGAACTTGCTAAGCTAAAAGAGTATGAGGATGTCCGACCGAATAATTCAGCTGCTTTCGTTTCCTAAGTTTTAAAGATAAGTTGCATGCTTAACATGCTGGTTTCTTCCAGGCTTTTCTGTAAAAGTGGTGACTAAAACATCCATCAGCAGTGGCACAAAGGAAGCTGTTCTTTTGAGGAACTTGGTTTTCCTTTAGGATGAAGGTTGCGCATCACAGATAGAATATGTTTAGAATGAAGTTCCTGTATGAACTAATTCTCACACCTTTGGAACTTTTTGAATCAAACAAGCTTGATTTTCCTGTCCTCTTGCAATTTTTTTTCCTCAACCATGCACCGTCATGTTAGGAAATTAAATGTTCTAGGTTTTGCATGTGGCAAATCTGCGTGTTTACATAATGTTCAGAAAATATTAATGGCATCCTGTCTCAGATATTTAAAATGGTTCAACTGAGGGTTAACATGAACTTAGATGTAAACTAATTAAGATAGATTTTAAGATGAAAGAAAGAAAGAAAGAAAGAAAGAAAGAAAGAAAGAAAGAAAGAAAGAAAGAAAGAAAGAAAGAAAGAAAGAAAGAAAGAAAGAAAGAA